AAGAAGAAGAAGAAGAAGAAGAAGAAGAAGAAGAAGAAGAAGAAGAAAAGTTCTGTTCAGAGATTTTACCCGAAACATTTGAGGTAGGAAGCGTTAAGATTCCCAGCTACTGGGTGCTGGTGATTCCCGGCTCTGGGTGCTGGTTACTCTTGGTGGCAGAAACAAAACTCAAACCAGTAGCTAGTCCCATGTTATAAGAACAATACATTCCTTAAGGTTGATCTTGAAACTGACTGTCTGATTAAAGGGAGTGTGCTGGCTAGCTTTGGGTCAACTTGACACGGGTCATTTAGAAAGAGGGAACCGCAACTGAGAAAACATTCCCACCAGACTGGCCTGTAAGGAAGCCTTGGTGCATCTTCTTCATTGATGATTGGTGTGGGAAGGCCCAGAGCCTGCCGTGGGTGGTACCACTGCTGGGCTGGTGGTCCTGGGTACCGTAAGAAAGCAGGCTGAGCAAGCCAACCACATAGAAAGTATTCTTCTACGACCTCTAGCTACATGAGCTCCTGCCCCTAGGCTCCTGCCTTGAGTTCCTATCCTGACTTCCCTGGATGATGAACCACAAATTGTAAGGGGAAATAAACCATTTCTTCCACAACTTGTGTGTGTGTGTGTGTGTGTGTGTGTGTGTGTGTGTGTATTTGTAATTGTATTTTATCACAGCAATAGGAATCCTAAATAAGACAGGGATTTTATTTTATTTTATTTTATTTTATTTTATTTTATTTTATTTTATTTTTTACAAAGAAGAGGAGGAAGAGAAGAGAGAAAGGAAAAGGAGTAATGCATAGGAAAAGTCCTTTTTTTAAAGATCAATAAGCCAATTAAAACTTAAAGTTCCCATACTTTGTCTCACAGGTAGACTCCTATTCTGATGTGTTTTAAGTTCCATGGCACCCCAGGCTAGGAACCATAGGCTAAGCCAGGCCAAACTCAATGAGAGATAGACACCAAAAAAAAAAAAAAAAAAAAAAGACAATTGCAGTTTTTGACAGATGCTCTTTTAGCATCAGTTAGCTGGGGTACTGGATGCTAAAACCTGGGTTCAAGGAACATTGCTCAGAGATTGAGTTTCTTTATGATATTCCTCCACAATGGAGTATTTGCATGTATTTTATATCCTTTGACATAATTATATAAATTGCAATATACATGACTCCCATTCAATTTTATAAAGTAGATTTTACCCAAAGCTACATGTATTTTTTGCACTTTAAGAGCCAAAAGTCTCAAAACAGCAAGTAACTTGAGGAATATTATACAAAATCAGTGTCTTACCAAAGAGGAGCATGGGAATAGTTATTTTTGGATATTCAAGGCTGAAATAAGCAGTTTGTCTTTCCAAAAATTTTAGATAAACTCCTAAGCAGGAATAGTATGCTGAAGTCTCTGTCAGGAGTCAACTTCTTCGCCTCTTGTCTCATCTTGGCCAAGGCTTAGCATTCCTTAGCAGAAACTAAAACAGCTCTAAAATGTAAACAGCTCTAGCATAACCAAAACATCATGTCTACATGTCAATTCTACAGATAATGTTGGGTGACCCTCAAGATTGAAAAACTAAGCCTTCAGACTTCCAGTGTCCAATGGTGTCAGCCTCAGTCCTCATTTTTTTTTAAACTGGTAGGCTCACTCACTTTATCGAATTGTGAAATCAAATAAGAAGTCTCACCTTGTAATGCCCAAATTCATTCAAAACGCTTCCCAGTTTTCTGGTGTTGCTGTGGGGCTTCTGAGCAGCCACAGCCGGATGCGGATCCCGCCAGTCGATGGACAGGCGGTGGTGCCAGAGGCGCTGGCTCTCCAGAACATGGGCTGATTTGACACTAGGATCAAAGCGATGAACTTCACATCCATCATTGGCCATGCTCACCTCAAAGTGTGTGTCATCGCTTCCCAGCCTAGAGACCAGAGAAAGAAAATCAATCGTGTGTGTGTGTGTGTGTGTGTGTGTGTGTGTGTGTACACACATATATATAATGAAGCAAAGTTAGATGAACAAATTGACAACTCTAATGCCGCTCTTCCTAGTGACATCATGCTTTCCGTTTTAAAACATGTCTAATGTACACATTCAATGAACTTCACATACGCGTGCTCTATACATAAACACACACACACACTCATACACTGTAGGTCAACGCCTCTGAATAAAATAAAACTTATTTGCCAAACACAGATCACAAAATCGCTAGCTAAACATGTAGGCACCTGTGAGAATGCTGTAGTTAAGTTGTAAGTTATATTAACAATGGAGCAAATAAAAAATATCCACTAACTTCAATAGGCACACTGTGATCTATAAAACCACAGAGGCTAGGTAGAGAGTAAGAGACTGGTGGGGTATGGCATTCCAAAGAAGGAGAAACAGAATATATAGTTGTGGAAAAAAAACAGAGGAGAAACTGGAACAGGAAGATAAAACAGAAAAGGGGAGGGAAGAAGAGGTTATAAAAAGAGAATACAGAGAGAGAGAGACAACCAACACTAAGGGCCATTTGAGGTTATATAGAAGCCTCCTACAGTAGAAGTTTCAAAAGCATATACATATGTAAAATAAATATAACTGGAGTCACCAAATAAAATAACCAACGCCCCAACGAGACATCATTTGTCATGGAGTGAAATCCTCAGTTCCAGGAATGGATTACAGCTAATTGAGGGACCCCATGGAAACCTCAAACAACTCAGGTCATTGTCCAAACCATCAATTGTTCTCCAAAAACTAATGGTAAAGCCTCATTTCTAAAGACAACACTTACATATCTCACTGAACGCGGAAAAGTCAGGCTGGTGCCTAACTAGGGCCTTCACCCCTCCTAACGAGTGTTCATGCTGCTGGAAGTATCCCGCATGCTCCCAGGAAAGAAAGGTAAGCATCAACCCAGCACAGACCCTGTGATCGACAGTGGTGGCTTGCCTGCATGATAGGCTTGGGCAAGCATGGCACAAATGTTATCAGAGTAACCAACCACTCTTTGATCGAATTGAAGGCCTGCTCCTTAAGATGAAACCCATTCCAACATAGGTTAGGTGGTATAGAACCTGAGACTAAATAGGCCACGGACATAGCGGAAAACCAAATACTTTTGTTTTGCTGAGGATCATAGCAATAAAATGACTGCAGGTGACATTCCACTGTCTCCATTGAGCAGTGTTTCACTCAGTCACCACCACAGAAGCTTTCTCCTAGAGGAGATTGAAACCGATACAGAGACTCACCACTGGACAATGTGCAGAGAGTGGGCCCGGTCTCATGGCCAGCATAGACGGCCAATCCACAATGAAGTCAAGGTGTTTTTGAAGATTTTTGTTTGTTTCATATTGCTTCTGGGTTTTCTTGTTTTGTTTTGTCTGCTTGTTTGTTTTTTACCTTACTGGTTTTTTGGGTTTTTTTGCTTGTATATTATAATGTCAATCTTGTGTTTTTATGGGTTTTGTTTTCGTGTTGTGTCTCTGTACTTACGGTGGTTTTTCTTTGTGGTTGGTTTTTTTATTATTATTGTTGTTTATTTGTTTGTTTTTATCTAGCTGTTTGTTTCCTAAAGAGAGAGAAAGAAGAGGTGGAGTTGGATGGGTAGGGAAGTAGGATGAAAGGAAGAAAAGAAATTGTGATCAGAATATATTGTATGAAACAAGGTTTATATTTTTTAAGAAAAATAAGAATATCCATTCGTCTTAGGAGAAACTTCTCATCATAGACCAGAAAGGATAGGCCTGCGGGGAGTTACAGTCTGCTAAGGCACTAATGTGTTTTCTCGGTGCTAAGCTGCTAAGCACGACACTGGACTTGTAGACAGCTGCGTGTTCTTTCAAATAAAGTGCACTTTGAAGGAGTGTAGTTAAAGAAAAAAAAAAGGCAAATGTATGTGCTTGTACTATATCCAGAGCCCGGAGAAAGAATCTATACCTAAGTTCACATCCATAAGGGGAAGAAATAATGAGTACGCTACACCTAAGCAGCTAGTAGGGAGTATGTCATGTAAACAGTCCACGTACTTACAGACACCGAGCTGCTAAGAAAAATGTCTTACTGAGTGTAAGAAGAGCCACATTGGTTAAAGCACCAATTTGAATGAAAAACATGACATTACCAAAAGACAGTGAAGCTTTTAATGGTAATTAAGACTTCTATGCCAAATTTTCTATGCTTTTTTGAGAGAGGGACTTGCTACACAGCCCAGGTTGGTCTTGAACTCTCAATCCCCCTGCCCTCCCCACCTCAGCTTTCCTACTGCATGGAATACACGTCTGAATGACCATGCTTAGTCCCAAAGCCGTGATTTAGGACTGAACAATCCCATAGAACGTCTGTGATACTTGACCAAACCCAAACTAGCACAGAAGAACTTCATTCTCTCAGACAACTACTCCAGACTGTTGTGTAATTTGGGCATACACAAAAACAGGAGACAACAATCATTCAGCAGTTTTAGTTAACTAAAGTCAGCTCTCAGTGCAGAAATCACCTGCCTAAAACTTTCAAGTCATCCTGTTTGCCTTATTCTTCACCCCATTACGTTGCTGTCTTCATCACTAGGCACCTTGACATGTCAGTCAGCTCATGATATTCCTCAACGAGACTTCGTTAATCTGCTTTAGCTAGAAAGATTCAACAGCCCCATGTCTTCTGCCTGAGAAGGCTTGTTCCCTGCTTTCTTCCTTCTGTAAAACACACTCAAAACCCTCTCTCCCTCCCCCACCCCTCCCTTCCTCCCTCTCTCACTTCATATGCTAGGGATCAGACCCAGAGCCTTATGCATACCAGATAAGCACTCTGCTCATCTGAGCTACAACCCTGTCCCTTAAACTAGTTTCTTATATTCTAGTCCCACACATAGAAAAACAACAACAACAAAGATAAGAAAGCAGAGAAAATGAAAAATTTTCTAACCCTAGAAATTGTAACCATTAACTTCTAGAGATTACCATGCTTAGTAGCATTTCTGTATCTTTCTAGAATTTTTCTACGCATATACAGGGATGGTCTCTATTATAACTTATTAGAAGCACATGCTTACCTATGTAAGCTAACCATTACATGATAGAGATATTTTATATGATATATCAGGTGGCCTGAAACTATTTGTAATTTGTAATACTCATTAACTGATCTTACTTTTGCTCAATCTATTTAATGTGTTTTTTTTTTTAATTTCTTAGCAGTATTTTAGCCTGTAGCTGTGGAAAAATGATACTTAGAAGAATAACTTAAAGAAATTAACTTTTGATTCCAGCTTATGGTTTCATCTCATCTCAGAGGGGAAGGCATGGTGGAACAGCTCACAGTATGGCGGGCGGGGTGCAGAATAGAGCAGTGACAGGAAGGGGCCAGGGCAAGGCAGAGACCCCAGGACACCCCCCACCCGAGGACTTATTCCTCTGACTAGGTCCCACCTTCCACCTTTCCACCACCTCCCAACACTCTATTCACACCTTGAATCCATCAGCAGCTTAATCCATTCAGGTCAGAGACCTTCTGCTCTAAAAGCAGCCTCATAGATACCCCTAGAGATGTGCTGTACTAATGCCCAAGGGGTGCTCCAATCCACTCAAACTGATGAGATTTACCATCACAATTAGTGTACTTAGACTACAGAATGATGGGTTTCACCATGGCATTTCCACACCACTTAATTTTAATGTGCTATTTGGGAAGGCATAAGCTATGCTCATTTACCTAGTGTGTGCAGGTCTACCTTTTGTGTATTTAAAATGATGCCTTTTCCAGGCTTAGGTTTGCATTTATCAAGTGTCATGACACATGTAAAAAGCAAGAGGGAGAGTCAAGCTATTGCACAATACAATAGAACTAGGAATGGAATCCACATCCCACACCTCCAAAACACATGCTCTATGGATTCTCTTCTTCACTGCAGGTGACCTGGGACACGGGGCTCTGGAGGAACATTCTTCTCCAAGCCTAGAAAGTTATCACTTTTCAGAGAGCGAGGCTGAGTTGGCCTTGCTTGCTGCTGACTCTCCTGTGCTGCAGACAGTGGTGACAGGCAGACCTGCAACGCTGCCCTCAGTGATAGAAAACTTTATGTGAGGTCTGCGATTCCCAGGATATACAGCAGTGTTCAGATGTGGTACGCGGCAGGCTTCAATACTCTGACTTGCTCCTGTATGTGAATGAGTATTCATAGGATGCTATTCATGAGCAAAGCATCCACTGGACATGAGGACAAACAGCCTAACTGTCCTTGAGACAAGGGCGCTCATGGGGTACTGATGAGGAAAGAGCACTTTCAAGAGACTCTCAAGTCTTGAAGAAGGGCAAGGCTTACAGGGCTAAGTCCCCAAAAGTAGACTATATCAGGACACCCACGTTGGCCCTCCTTCTCTGATGTCTCAGAGGAAAGCAACCAGGTTCCCTCACGCGGCAGTGTGGGTTATACACTAAAGAACTATAGGATGTTCCCGTCCCACAGAACCACCTTCACAGTGATTTCCTGGTAGATGGCACCAAGAGCTCTTGAGAGGGGAGTACTTTCTTTTGAAAGTTGTACACGAGTGCTCTTTGCACTAACTTCAGGTGTACTTCAAGTACATGAACTTATGTATGGCCACCACGTGCTCTCATATACCACAAAAGGTAAAAGGAATGGATGATGGCAGCTCCTTGGTTAGCCTTTGGGTTTTCTTTTTCTTTTTTTCTTTTTTTTTCTTTTTTTTTTGAGTGTACAGAGTAAGAGGATTTTATGTTCCCTGGGACTCAAAATCTTAGAGCATAAGGGTGTGAAAAGACACTCGGGATCATGACTCAGTAGAGAAAGGCAGTTTGAAGCCACAGTGAGATGCCCCATCCCAACATCCAATACGGCGTTGACAGGAAAAATTGGAATAGTCAAAGACTATTTATCACTGGGGATGTAAAACAGTATATATTCAAGATCAAACAAAAGATGTGGGCCCAAAAATTACACAGCAACACTCATCTCAGCATCCACCATAACGAAAAAGGGGAAACCATGTCCATCTACTGATGGGTGAAGAAACAGGCGGTGTTTCCACACATTGGAGTATGACCCAACCCTAAAGAGTAATGGAGTAGATACATCTTACACTCTAAGTGAACTATGGAAACATTGTTAGAGACAACCGCACAAGATGGTACTTGTTATATGATTCTATTGACATGAAATGGTCAGCATAGGTGACTCTAAACACAGAAAGTCACCTTAGTGTTTGTGTAAGGCCAGGGCATGGGGGCGGGGGGGCCTGAAGAATTGGGGAGATAAAGATTGGAGGGAAACTGAGAGTGATATATATTGGACCCAGAGCTCTCTGGGGAGGAGAGGGTGATGAAAATGTTTGAAATTTAAGTGTCTCGGCTAAAAGAAACCCCCAACTTGTGCATTTAGGCATGTGAGCTCTATGTAGATAAAACTGTTAAAAAGCTGAAAACAATAAAAATAAATCTATAATACGGGTCAGAAAAGTCCTCATGACTGAGAGGAGAGGTCTGGAAGCCGTGGGAAGTGTTTTCCTCCAGAGTGGGAGCCGTTGGCAGGATCAAGGGAGGCGCTCTGGCCAGGTGGCAGGCTACGCCTGCAAACTGCTTCTGAGTGCTGGGGGAGGGTCTTAAAGCACAAAGAGAGTAGTTAATAAAATATTTTATACTTATTGTTTCTTGTGTTGATAACATGGCAAAGTTTCAAATTTTCAAGTAAAACAGGAAGCCAATCATGGAGATATATGCCTTTAATCCCAGTACTCAGGAGGTAGAGGCAGGAGGATCTCTGTGAGTTTGAGGCCAGCTTGGTCTGCATTCCAGAATATCTGGGGCTATACAGTGAAACCTTATCTTAAAAACAAATAAAAGCCATGTATTTTCAAAACAATACCACTCCCAAAGGAATAAAATGAAATTTAGGGAGTGTGTGTGTGTGTGTGTGTGTGTGTGTGTGTGTGTATGTGTGTGTGACCACGCATGTCTTCTTTTTATATATAAAGCATAGATATTACACATAGCATAAACAGATATGCAGTGTGTCTACGGCATTCAGACCACAGACACACTGCTCAGGCAGAAAGTGTCTAGAACCACTGAGAGCCACAATCTTCTCCTTCCTCATTCACATATTCTGAAAGCAAATGAATTTTCTGTGAGGCTCATTCATTCCTCTTAAAGTGCTCCCAGCCACCAGAAATTGCAGGTTTTCCGTCTAAAACACTGGCTCGGTGTTGCCTCACCATGTGTGTCTCAGGAAATCTTCTGTCTTACACCAAGAAATCATATCTTGAAACCAAAGAGTGTAATTTCACACAGAGCGAGCGGAGACACAGATAGCGGGTTTCCGCCTTGTCTCTCCTCATCTTCCTTTCCATGCGCAGCTCTACCCCTAAAACGCAGTCGCTGGCATGAAAATAAACGAGTCGACTTCTCTCTGTGTGCCACTCCTTTCTTCTCTGATCTCCACCACATCTGGACGATGCCCCCATCGCTGTCTACACAGCAAGACTTGCTGCGAAGATTCTGTCTCAAGTTGTAAGGTGTAAACTACCCTCTAAACCCACAACCTGTTCTTTCTTTTTTCCAGTTCTCTTTCTTTTTCTTCTTTTCCTTCTCTACAACATTTACCTTCCTTTTTCTCATCCCTTCCTGTGTGTTCGCTGGCCTACTCCCCACTCTTTGAAAACTGGAAGGGACCCCAGTTAAGTTTTTGATAGAACGCATCGCACCAGGCAGTTCTGTCTTTTTGCATCCACTGTGGAATATGAAATTCTGACTCCCAGCAGAGACACTTCGGATGGGAGAGAGACAGCAGGGGCAACACTTGCTTCCGGGATGAGGGTGGAGGAGAGAGGATGGGGCACACCAGACACGAGGCCATCAGCCTTTGTCTTCTGTCCCCCGGATCCCCATGCCAGGATGATTCCCCCAGCCGCACCTGTATCTTTGGGAACCCCTGGCTCCGGCAGATTTACAGCATCATTACCGCCCTTCTCTGGAGCTCAGACACACACTTGCACTTGTGAATGAGAGGCCACAGATTCCTCATCCACCCCCCCTCCCCACTTGTCACACAGCTGTCCCAACACTCCCAGACACTGGTCACCCAGGCCCAGCACTCCCTGCCCTGCAGTGGTTCTTCGCTTCAGAACCATGGTTTGTGCCTCTCCTCTCAGCATCAATTGAGATGGCGAACAGCAATCTGCTTGTCCAGCAACAAGCAGTTCATCAGGAGGGGCATCTAGATCCCAGGCCCCAAGTCACAGCCACTCACCATCCTTACCCACGGCCCACAATCCAAGGGCCATTTTTTTTTTAAAAAACACAAGTATATTCTTTAGATTCCAGTTTTTCTGTCTTTCTCCCCGCCCCCACTTGTCTGTGGGGGGATTTGTCTTGTTTTGATTTGGTTTGGGGGTTCTTTGTTTATTTACTTTGTTTTGATTTGGGGGGACAGGGTCTCATTTGGGGACAGGACTGGCTGTCCTTGAGCTCACAAAGATCCACCTGCCTCCACCCCCTGAGCGCCTCCATCAAAGGTGTGCACCACCATGCCCAAGCTAGATTGCAGTTTGTAATAAAAGCTTTCATGTTTTTCATCAAATATTGACCCTTATAATCTGTTCATTTCTGTTTCCAGGGTAATTCAGAAGTTCTCATTTGCATTTTGCAAAGCTAATTTTGAATGTAAATGAAAGGAAATAAAAATTTTTCTCTGTGTAATAATCTGAAATCTAGCTACAGAACCATCTTACCTAACAGCTTGGAAGTATAAGGAGGGGAAAGAATTTCAAAACACGCCCTAAATAACTTCCCAAGTTTTCTTTTATTCAGTTATAAGCTTTAAATGAAATTATTATGGAATGTAAAATGCTAAGGAGAAAGAACATAAAGGAGGTTTGGAACCAGGAAATAGGATCAAGATGACATATGCTATACTATGCAATTATTTTTTTGACCTACTTTCACAGATTTGTAAAGTGACATAAAACAAACTCTGCTATCAGGACCTCCAATTCCTTCCTACAGTCTTAAAGCGTAGGCGGTGGCTTCCAAGAAGGCCTCAGTTCTTACAGACTGGTGCCCAGCTCCTGTCTGACCACTCAAGCCCCATTCCACACACAGCCAGAGTCCCCTTCTCAAACAACCCTTGACATAACCAATACCGTCAAGTGAGGGACAGACTCGATTAGGGTCTTTGTATTTGCTTTCAAAATGCTACAATCCGCTAACCTGAGAACCTGCTTGGCTTCTATGAATAGTCTACTGAACAGAGCGCTCCGAACAGAAATCATTCCCCCCTGCTTTGTTTTCAGACAGGTATCATTTTGTCCTGGTTGGTTTTGTTTTGTTTTCTGTGGGTTTTGTCAACTTGACACAGGCTAGAGTTACCTGAGAAGGAACCAACCTCAACTGAAAAAATGTCTCCATAAGATCAGGATGTCGGCAAAGCCTGCAGGGCATTTTCTTAATTAGGGATGGATGCGAGAGGGCCATGTCCATTGTGGGAGGTGCCATCCCCAGGCAGTTAGGTCAGGGTTGTGAAGGAGAGCAGGCTGAGCAGGCCTCTGCTTCAGTTCCTGCCTCAAGCTCCTTTCATGACTCCCTGGGTAAACTGTGGTGTGGAGCTGTAAGCTTAACTAACCCTTTCCTCCCCAAGTTGCTTTTGGTCATGACGGTACACCATAGTGACAGAAACCTGAGACACATTTGCAAGTTCCAGAGTTTACAAAAGTGCTTGTAGTTAGATGTAGGGAAAAGGTCTCCTTACCTCATATCCATTCTTCTACAGAACACATAGAGGTCATTTTCAACCTGTATAACTAAGGTTTTTTGTTTTTTGGTTTTTTTTGGCAAAAATCACATGGTTTTTCTATGAATTCCCTTTATTTTGCTAAATACAAAGCTATATATAGACTGATCACTGGTACAACACACACACACTCACACATGCTCTCTTGCTCTTGTCTCACACACAAAACAAACAACAACAACAACAACAACAAAAAACAGTGTCTGTTATCTGTCTCAGATCATTCATGTCTGTGTCTAGCATTTCTGGCATACTCTTTTCCTCGCTACAGCTATTGGTGTTTTTCTCTCTCTAACAAAAGTACTCTGGTTCACACTGGGAGCCTTTGGTTTCTCCAAGGGGATCCTCCTCACGTGGAGAACAACGGAAGCTGCTGCCTTAATACCAGCAGAACGGGTGAAAAAGTGGCTCCAGCCAGGAGATCTGCCAGCCGCATGGGAGGGAGTCAGCCTGATTCGGAGGCCTGAGACAAATCCCAGCTCCTGCACCTGCCATCCCTGTTGTCACTGAAAAGGCCTCAGCTATTAAAAAAAGAAAAAAAAAAAAAATCTTACCCTAAAGAGTAGAGGCGGCACCGCTTGTCGCGGATTTGATGAGCTAAGCCAAACCTGTCATCAAGACACACCAGCCAGGGCTTCGTTGCAGGGCTGGAGTCAGCAGCCAAGCTGTCTGTACCCATGTGATCGCATGCAATCTGTAAGGATTGGAAATCGATATGAATAATTTAAAACAACGTTGGATGATAAATGGCAGGTAGAGACTTAACTGCTTTCCCCCCCCCCCCACACTCCTGAAAACAGCAATAGCAGAGATGTGTCCTCCACTGCTAACTACTCTCCTCCCCAGGGAACCACAAGACAGCCGAAAAATGTTCAGAGGAATTTCAATTACGTGCCAGATAAGAAGCAACCTCATGAAGGCTCGGTGCGGGTTTGAAGGGAAATTAAGGGCTTGCAGTGGCCATCTGCCCAGATTGCAAATTGGGGACCAGGATGGGCTGGAGGCGGGAGCCGGAGGCAGTACAGGGAGGTCTGCTGGTCTGGCTAGTCTGGGGGATGAACTGATTAAGATTAAGATGAACTGATTAAATCTGGACTGAGGGCTGGGCAGTGTGCCTACTGCAAGAGTGTTGCACGCTTGCTCTTGGGAGCAAGAGCCCAAGGTCACCTGTGCCCGATTGCAGGCAGATAAGGTGGGACCACTGAGGCCAGGAAAGTCGCCTGTGTTATCCAGGTGCACAGCTGATCCTCTGACAAGCGAAGTTCCTGCTGAGAAGATGGGATTCTTTGTAATGACCTCTAACAAGCTGCCTCCTGGACGAGCAGGGCAGGAGCCCCAGACCGGAAAGTGTTGCCCAGCTCACCCATGCCCTTCTCCTAAAGCACGCATCGAGATTAGATGAAAAGAACCAAAGGGAATGCAAGTGTAAATTAAGCTGAAAGAAACCTCTAATTCCAAATGCTCATTAAGCAGATGAACTTCATAAGAAGAATGGCTCGGGTCTGAGGCTGGTACTGCGCACAGCTGGGGCTGATGGACTAGAAGAAAACAGTTGAGTCCCAGACATTTGCCATACTGAGTGACCAAAGTCCCTTCCTCATCATCCCTCAAAACTCTCCAAGCCATCACATGGGGGACAAAAGAGCACTCCAAACACAGCTCTGAGGTTCACTGCTTTCCTTCACTGGAAAAACAACAGCAGGAAATTGTTTTTTCTTCAGAAAATATTCTAGGGCTGGCAAGATGGCTCAGTGGGTAAAATGATTGCTGAAAAATCTTCAATAGTGTCTGTATGTAGCTCAAGCACTCATTATCACAGAGGGCCCCATAGCCGGTTTAGTCTAGCGGAATTGTGAGCTTTGGGTTCAATGAAAGACCCCGTCTAAATAAATAAATAGATAGATAGATAGATAGATAGATAGATAGATAGATAGATAGATAGATAAAATATAGAATAAAATAAATAAATAAAATATAAAATAAAAAAAGGAAAGCAATGGAAGACAGCATTTGATATCAGCCTCTGCCCTCCATATGAACATTATAGGCAAATAAGCAGTGTGCGAGCAGGCACATCTATACACACACACACACACACACACACACACACACACACACACACACACACACTTAAAAGCAAAATCGGGCTGGAGAGATAGCTTAGTGGTTCAGAGTACTGGCTGCTCTTCCAGAGGACCAGGGTTCAATTTCCAGCATCCACATGATGGCTCCTAATTCCAGTCCCGGAGGATCCAACGCCCTCTTCTGGTGTCGGTGGGCACTGCATGCACACGATGCGCAAACATACATTAGGTAAACTATCACACGCATGAAATAAAAATAAATAAAATCTCCAGATAAATAAACAAAAGTAAAAACAGCCAAGGGTTGTGGCAGGTGCTTTTAATTCCAGCACTGGCGAGGTGGAGACAAAAGCATCAAGAGTTCAAGGCTTCCTCAGCTACATAAGGAACTTGAGGCTCACCTAAGTTGCATGAGATCTGGTATAAATAAATAAATAAATAAATAAATAAATAAATAAATAAATAAATAAATAAATAAATAAATAAATAAAGCAACAACAACAACAAAAAGTGAAAGCATTCAATTTCCTCCCCTTTCAACTCAGTGTCTTTCCACCTCTCTGTCTCTAGCCACTTTTCAAACGGGAAATCAGTCATTGGAAAATGGAAGCGAATCTCCTCTGAAGCAACAACTACAGAGCACGGACAGTGACGGAACACATCAGGATATGGACTTGTCCAGTTCATCTTCTGCGGTTTGGCCAGAGAGAAGGGGAAATTGTGCCCACCTACCCTCTGTCTGCCCACCTGCTCCTCTTCACCCACCCAGGGGCACTGCCAATCTAATTGGCCAGAACTGACCTACTCCTGAGAAAGTCGCTGCGTCTTGAACCTGGGTATTCACTCGGAGCTCTGTGTCTGTGCCTTGAACTCCTGCAGGAGGCTGGTTAGACAAGAGCACTTTTGTGGGTCCTGGGTTGCCTAAGTCTGAGCCTTTTGCTCCAGGGCAGTGCTCTACTCTGAAGATTAGACACTCTCAGACACTTCTCTCTAAGACCCTCTATGATGACACACAGAATATGTTCTATTGCTTTTCTGGTGACATCAAAACCCCACCTCGGCCTCTTCCACAGCGCTGCTTAAAGTGTGGTTGCCCTGCTACAGAACCACCTGATGGATTTGCAGGGGGCAAAAGGAGGGTAGTGTGGGAGTGGAGGAGAGGGGGGTGGGGCAGGTTCTGGTTTTTGCTCCAGATTTGCAAGGTACCAAGACCCCTGGGAACAGGTCATCTAAGAAGCCCCCCAAAAGGAGGCAGGGCTTAGACAGGCCATCCTTCGAGTTTAGTGGAGGGTTTGGCCTTCTATAAAATGCCTGGCATGGTCTTCTAGCCTGAATCTTAGAAAGTTAAGGAAAGAGACTAGACCCGGGCCAGAGCTTTCAACTGAAGACGGCATCCTCTTCGACAACCCCCCGCCCCCCCCACACACAACAAAGAACAGAAAGGTTGTCATCAACAATTAACCAGGGGCCCCTCAAAACAAGGACCTCAGGGCATGAGTCACGGTGCAGTTGCTCCTCCTGAACCACTGCCATGGTTTAGGGCAGCTGTTCCAGAGGGGTCAAATGACCCTTTCACAGAATCGAATCAGATATCTGGCATATCAGATAGTTACATTTCGATTCATAACAGTAGCAAAATTTACAGTTATGAAGCCGCAACTAAACAATTTTATGGCTGGGGATGTCACCACAACATGAAGAGCTGTACTAAAGGGTTGCAGCATTAGGAAGGTTGAGAACCCCTACTCCAGGATCCTCTCTAGTATGATTGCACTTTATCTAATCACGTTTTTTTTTTTCTCTCTCATCCCATGATTTTATCTTGCAGAGATACTCTCCTATCAGAGAGACGGTCTTTTCCACTCCCTTTCCTCTTTTATCTAAAAGATACAGCACAAGAATTGTCTACTTCTAACCATTCATGAACCGTCTTACCGACAGTCATTCATTTTTGGAAAATAACTAGAAGTCCTCCATAAAATCCTGCTCCTAAAAATTAATTAAATATTGATTTTTTTTCAAACTTTCTGGTTAAGATTTATAGCCAAGGTTTCAATAAACTCGCTTGCAAGCGAAATGAGTGAGGACAGCAACTTTCGAGCTAAGCTCCAGCTGAAGTAATTATACCCTCTGCCTGCTTAATTCCCCTTGTAATTTTAGCCATATAAAGTAATTTAAGTCTGGACAAAGGCAAATAGACTCCAGGAAAAAAAAAATGATGTTTTTGTGAAATGTTTTTAATTTATTTAGCTTAAAGAGATCTAATGCATTTCTATTTCATTTTGTATCCCCAAAGCTTGGATACCAATTCTACCAACACATGAGCTGCATGTGGCAAAGAATTTTAAAATTTGGGGAGTTTTGGCAAGGATCCTTTAAAAATTAACTGTACATTTATATGGTTACGTTATTCATTTTTGCTCAAAGGCAAAAATGAATTTTTCGTTCTCTTTCTGTGTGTGTATGTGTGTGTGTGAGAAAGAGAGAGAGCATACAAATATAATATATACTATTGATTCAATGCTGCAAAATTCCAACATGTGTCTCCTGGTCTCCGGAGCCTGACTCCTTAGGTTATTTTTACAAGTAGATGGGTAGGTAATTGGATAAATAACAGATTAGAGATGGGCAGTAATGGAAAAATGGAATTTAAAGCATTTTGTTTGTGTGCTAATTTAGAAGAGCCATGTCGCTTAGATGAACTCTACTGAGAGGCTTCCTTCCTGGAGGCATATGGTGTGGAGGCTGCCGTAAAAAAAGCTGGCTTTGGAGCCTTCCTTCAAAGCCGAGCAAGCGCTTGCGATTTAACCATTTCCTGTTAGCGGTTCACTGTACCATTCACTGCAGAACTCTGTAGGGTGGTCAGGGCCTCCCATGTGAAGAATGAAAAACAATGTGGCTAATTAAACTGGAACTGATACTCTGCATAGCTGAGTCAAATGCCAGAGCCTCTGATGTTTCATTAAAAAAAAAAAAAAATCAGGATCCTAATCTTGCCACCAAGAGCATCACTATGCATAGAGAACCATGCCCGTGGCTGTCTAATGCCCACCCACATGCTCACCCTCCCTTAGATGCCTCTCTTACATCCTACTTACCATTAGAGAGAGGCATTTCATTAAGGTTTGAGAGATCCCAGAGCCCAGCAGTGTGCCAGCCTGTGGGCAGGTGATCAATACAGGCTTTTTGTACAGATAATGTGAAAAATTCAGCCATTAACTTATCAAATGCTGGGCCTTACTGCACCGGTTTGAACATAGATTGGAGGGATTCTTTTTTTTTTTTTTTTTTAGGCAGCATAGAGGATGGGGGTGGAATTCACTTAGTGACTCATCGCTGCTAACTGAAAATTTTAGGTAACCGTGATGTTAATATTCTGCAAGTTTCGCAGGCTCCCGTTGTTAGCTTGATTTCTAAATGAGGCGCAAGTCACAGAGCATCCAAAAAGCTACTCGCTGCACAAAGAAGGGGTGGGAGCAACGGTCATCGAAGGAAGGACTCTAATGAAGAGTCAGCGTCAGCTCCCACCTGAAAGCCATCAGCGCTCAGAGCTTTACCTGGATAAAATGTCTCCTGATTACAAAAGCATGGTGAGGCCTGCAAGCTATCGCAGTTTTCTCAAGAATGGAAAGCCTTTCACTGAGTCCGGAAGGAACTCAGGACACATCATTTCAATAAAATTCCAAACTAGTACAGTCATTACCTCAAGCTGCCATCTCTCAAGGGACTATCACTTCATAGAGAGCCATTGGCTGGACTTTTCCTCTGTGTAACAGGCTACACAGATTTCTGGGGGTGGGTGCCCTACCCGTATGGCGGCTGGGAAATAGCCCTGAATCCTCTTGGTCACTGGCATTGCAAAAAGACAGAATAAATGTCAGAGTCAACTCCGTCACCCACTAGCTCTTAGATTCCTGCCTCCCCCAATCCTGGCTGCCAAGGTCTCCACTACAGTTCTCCTGGCAGCACCCTTGGGATTTACTGTGTGGGTCTAGAGGTCCATTTGTTCCATTGTTCCTTCCCAAGTTTATTTTTCCTCCATGTACAAAGCACGAAAGCATCGTGCTTTGGCCATCCTTAAGGGAGCATCTGTCGTGTGAAGACTCCCACAAAGTTTAGCAGAAACACGGTTGCTCTGCTCTGGCGCTGTGGCTTTGCTTTTCAAGGCTCCTGTATCAGTTAGAGTCTGAAATCCAGCTGAAGACCCACATCACAATGTGGTGGGAAGCCTTTCTCTCAGAGCTTCGGACACCATGTCTCCATCACAGCACGTCTCACGTTGTCCAGTAATTATGTATCTACTCATCTCTGGGATCCTTGAGGCCAAGACTGCAAGCCAAGTGCTTTCCAAATCCCCTGGCCACATAGGCACTCAGAAATACTTAGGTAATAACAGCTATTAACTATTTTTTTGTACATCACTCAGCCACGGGGAGGCCTTGGAGGCATTTGGTCCAACCTCAAGCTTTTCAGGATCAGAACAGGGACAGCCATAGAAGCAAAATCAATCATCAGGTTCCAGTGTTAGTCTAGTCACATTAGAACATGCTTTCTCTTTCTAGACTTTTTCTTCCCCCTCTCAGACCATGGCTCATGTGAAAGACCCAGGAAAAGTCTGAAATGACCATAGAATGCTCCAAGAGGATCTTGTAAGTATGTACCCCTCATTATAAGGTATAGAAAATTAACCTAAAATACATGTAAGATGGAATTTGGAGAGTTGTGCTCAATGGATTGATTTTGGAGGATGGAGCTCATCATTTTCAAGTTCAGTTTGTATATTTAATACTTCTAATTTTTCTCCAGGCTTTTTAAGAGCGTTTCTAGGTTATAATTAAGAGACCTAGTCTCCTATGCTTCATGTAAAGCCAAATTGTAAAATTAAAATTATAATATTTTAATTATGCCTGGGTAAGTCCACTGAATTAATTTAAAGCAGCCCGAATAAGATAAATTTCTGTAAAACATGGGGACTGATTTATCATTCTATCAGCCACAATTAATTCCACAAGCTTTTATTTCCATGTTTAGGGACAAGTATTAAAATTCCTAGGATTGTCTGACTGCCGCATGTAAGAAATAAGATTTTCAACCTAAACTAATCTCCTACAGCTCTGGAAAAGAGCTAAGCACAATGGCATACACCTGCGACCTCAGCCCTCAGCAGGAGTTCAGGGCTAGCCTGGGCTGAATAGCAAGAGCATCTCTCAAAGCAGAGGGCGGGACAGGAAACTAGACTATACTCTTTCCCATTCTTTATTATGGGCTTTGCTGCCAGTGAGGCTCAGTGCAGCGCCAAGGGCCAGCTATCTTAAGCAACCAGGCCCGCCTCCCCCAGGGAGCATCCTAGGGTGAGCCTATGCTCAGTTGCCAGGCTCAGAAAGTTCTACCTTCTGCCACCTCTCCATCCACGGCTAAGTGTCCCCGGGCCTCCATCTCCTCTTAGATCTGCCTTTTCTGCAGGCTAATCTTAGAGAATAAATCGGCTGATCAATGTGTCAAGTGCCCTAGAGTTACTTTCATGAACATTCTCTTCCCTTCTCAGGGCCTGGCTCCAACTCATTCTTGGAGCTGGGCAGGAGCTGCTACTGTGTGTGTTAAGCCGCTAACAAAGGCCAAGCTCACTAATGACTTAGGGCGCTCCGAGGACAGGGAAGCGAGCACAGGGGTCATTAAAGTCTTGTGGTTCGCCTCAGAGGCTCTGGCTACCCTGCCCAGCTCACGGTTGCCTGGCTGCCAAGAGCCTGTGGCTGGGAGGCACATAGATAGATGAAGGCTTCCAAATAGAAAAGTTGCTGAAGCTCCAGATGATGGTTTTGTTTTGTGACACACTTGACTGCCTACTCACAGGGACAAATCTGTCTCTTCAAATGGCTTTCCAAAGCCATTTTCTAAAGTGACTCTTTAAAACACTTGGGGCTGAATCATTAGAACATTCCAGGTTGGTGAGAGTACTAGAGGGAAGATGGCAAGCAAAGGGAAGCCATCTTCTCTGTTTCCAGGCAAGGGGAGAAAGCTGAGTAGCAGCCATTCAGAACTGGGGTCTCTACCCTCTTCCTATCAGGAGTTCCTCACAACCTCCCAGCCCCAGAGGGCAAACTCTTCTTGCGATGGTTGGTCAGTACCTTTGCATCCCCAAACCTATTTGAGCTTGAAACACAACCTGAGTGGTACTGATGTAGCTCAGGAACCTTGAGGCTTCTTCATCCAGGGACTGAGCAGGGCCTGCCCATGGCTGGAGCTCTATGCGCCACCGGGGACCCTGTGAGGGACAGAGAACACAGTCAGCATGGAAAGACTGAGTGTCTGGGCAGAGCGGGAGAACATGAGATTGGGCCCAGGCTAACGGCATGTGTGCACAGAGCTGCTCTTGTTTAAGGCCACATGAACCACAGGAGGACGTTGTAAGAAAGTCCAGTGGCCGGTGACTGTAAAAGGAACTCTTATCCAACTGGTTCAGCTGTTGTCTCGGATGCCTCCTGCCTCTGTCTGCTAACCTAGGCCTAGTCCTGGAAGCTACTAGCCTCCGTACAATCTAACCTAGGCCAAGAACATTTTCAGCCCCTGAGACTTACTGCTTAATAAGCTCACCCTTCTGTTCTTTGGAGCTCTGGGCTGGCTGGTTCAACTCAGCTGTTCTGGCTCAAACTCCTCTCCCAGCTGACTTATTCAATCTGGCTCTTCTCTGGGCCTCTGAATTACTCTGCTCAGCCTCAAACTAACTCCAGAAATCTTTTCTAATCTCCTGGCTTCTTCTCATTCCCTGGCTCATTCAGTCTTCACCTATGTTCTCTCCATTACTGTCCTGGTAAAACTACCTCCTCTCTCTCATTGCCCCTTTAGTAGCTTCCCTTTCCTCTCTCTTCTCATGAGAGTTGGGCATATCCTGTTCTGTCAAATCTTTCTCTGATTCATTACATTTCCTGCCACTTACTTAGGTATCACTTTCAAACATGGGTGCTTCCTTCCGCAAACTTACATTACCTTCATTGTTTGGGACTAAAGGGGTGTACCACCACGCCTGGACCTAAGCTCTGCTTTACCTGAAACTTGCTCTATACCAGGCTGGCCTTGAACTCAGATCTGCTTGCCTCTGTCTCCTGGATTAAAGGCATGCTTGTATTCCAACCAGATCACACAGACCTAGATCTTTGGATGTGATTTCTTGCCAGCCAAATCACACAGACCTAGAGGGTCTTTGGTTGTGATCTCTTGCCAGAACAGCCATGTTCTGAATTAAAAGTCCTCTAGGTGACAATGATCCCTGGGGACTGTCTGGTCAAAGATACATTCCACCTGACTCCACCTGACAGTACCTTAACTGTGTCTCGATACAAGGTGATCCCACTTCACATCCAGAAGGAAAGGGGTCCTTATCGATTATTGTTTTCTAAGGTTAGAGCTTCAAAAATCTGCTCCTTAAAGGGCAGCAGTTCTGGGGTTTCACAGCGCTGTAAAACTGAAGCACCAACTTCATGGGGAAGAGATACTCGGGCATTTGGTAACCTTCCTTAGCACTGGTCATCTCAACACTGGCCCATGCTGAGGCAGGAGGATAACAAGTAAAAGCCATCCCAGACTACTGTGATGGTTAATTTCCACTGTCAACCTGATGAGATCTGCAACCATCTTTGATGGACATCCAGGCAGACCTTGGGGGATTATCTTGGTCAGGTTGATTGAGGTGGGAGGGCCTGCCCACTGCGGATAGCACTGTTCCCAAGGCTAGGATCAGAGAGTGCACCTAAAGAGAGTGAGCAGAGCACAAGCATTCACTGCTGTCTGCTTCTTGACCATGAATCTGTTTCCATCTCCTGCTGCTGTGACTTTTCTACCATATAATCTTGAACTGAAAACCCTGCCCCCAAATCCCTTAAATTCCCTCTGCCAGGACACCTTATCAGAGCAACAGGAAAAGAAACTAAGACAGTTGCATAGCAAGAAAACACTGAAGCCACTCTGCTGGGCAAGGTGCCTTTGCTGAGGACCGCCATGTCTCAGAGCTGTTGTTGTCCTGTGAAGGTAGATCAGAGAGCATCGAGGAATGCTATCTAATCTACCTTTCAAGCCAATATTGATTTTTTTCTCTTCTCTTATTAGATGCTGATAACCATTTAGTCAGTCAATATTTATCAAGCACCAGCAAAGACCAGGCAAGGATAAATACAGATCTGACTGCAATCTAGACTCTCCCAGGAGACACCATGGCTAGGAGCAGACCGGGTTTGTGCAAAATGACTTTGAAAAGAAAATAGGGACACGTTTAAGAGAGTTATTCTTTTCTGCTTCTGAAGTCACAGCGAATACTTCCGCCTATTCCTACTCGAATTCTTTTCTGCATCGAACGGGCAGAGCGCTCTTCTAGGGCATTTACGAGCAATAATGCAAGCGGGTCGAGCTGTCACATCTAGATTAGCCAACTTTGTCATTTAGGTGGCTTGGGCAACTATGAGTCGGGGACTCGGCAGGACACCCGGAACCATCACACTGACTAACCGCGGAGAATTTCACAGAGAGACTGTTCACAGAGGTGTGGGCGGGATTTAAGGATGCGAGTGAGAAATCATGTGATAGCAGTGACTGGTGGCACCAGAGAGCCATCTGGGGAAATGTATGGAGAGGGTCTTTAAGAAACAGTCAGCCCCTTTACAGATATCACCTTATCTGCCCTGCTCTCCAGTCTTCTGCCTTCTGTTAGCCAAAGCCACAGAGAGGGAAACTGAGGCTGGCCCCTGAAGTCAGAACGCCTACCCAGGGTCCCAGCTGGTGGAGTAGAGGCGAGGTGAAATGGAAGCAAGGTTTGACCAAAGAGGCATTCATTCATTCATTCATTCATTCATTCATTCATTCATTCATTCTGTGGGCATTTGTGCCTCATGCCCCCAGGGTATGTTTGTTTCTGTTTAATATCGGGCACAGCTGTGTCACACAACAAATGCAAATAATTAAGGGTTTTGATGCAATTCTCTATCGTGTACAATAGGGACACAAGAAAATGGGGTCTGTACGGATTACTCCACAATCAAAGCACACAAAAAAGCAGATATGGATTACAGGAAAGGGTTTCTATGGCAAAAAAAAAAAAAAACACCAAAAAACAAAAAAACAAAAACAAACACAGAGCAAGGTCTTTGTAGAACTATTAAAGAGACATGTTCAACCCAGCAGCACTGTTGAAGCCCAGCTAGCATGCAGACTTCCCAAATCAGTAGTTTGTGAATCTCTGGTTAGATGTAGGATTATCTTTCTGCAACCTGATACTTCTCGTTCCCAGCTAAGTGTTGACCACAAAGAAGCTAAACACAGCTGTGCTGGTGGATAGCTGAAGTCGAGGAACCTCAGACGGCGGTCTAATAGAAACACACAGGCAGCAATAAATGCCCTCAGATGTGCTCTGGCTTACTGCTTTGGTTCAGCTGTTTAAAAAACATTTCACATAAAGCAATGTTCTTATTGGAATCAATCCGACAGCAGGTCGTGGTTATTTCCCCATGGAAACCACGGGCTTTTATCATCTCATTCAATTATCATCTGTCTTAATTCTCCACTGCACACGTCAACATAATGTCCTTCCCAAATTCCCACAAACAGAATTCTGTGGGCACCTTCAAATACTCAGGCAAGTTTAATAGAAAACAGCAAAACCCATAATTTTCCTTAAAAAAAAATATGATGATGGTTTTGCACCACACAATCTCCTAAATGCCAGGGTGCACTATGTGCCAATTATCCATGTGCTTCAAATATCAAGTGACCATAACGACGACGACAACTCCATCTCTCCCAGGCGGTGGGGCTGTGGGTTTCCAAAACCCATCTACCTGTCCATCAGCCGGCTCCTGGGGCAGGTAGAGAGTCACTTAGCAGCAGGTGGCTGTGAGCAGAATTGCTTTGTGTGAGGTTGTCTGTTCGTTCCCCACAGGCCTGTGTGGAAATGTCAAGTGCAGCACTGCAATGAGTTGTCACACAGAAGAGCCCCCCCTCCCCCGAAGAGAGGGAAGCCCCTCTGGGCCTTTGCTTCCTAAGACACCAGACTTCACACAGGCGGGAGGGGTGGGGTCTGAGGGGTGGAATTGGCACAGAGACAGGACACCTCCTATCAGTGAGCTTCACAAACGGGCAAGCTCCTGGACTGGGGGTGGGGGTGGGGGACGGGAGGACCGCCATTCTCCTTGTATGAGACTCCAGCCAGCACTTACTCTGAGGTTTACATCTTGAAAGGGAGGCAGGCGGGAGGCTTTCTTTCACATGGAATTCCAAACATTAAGATCAAAGACAGCAGAAAGTCCTCTGAAAAGCTAGCTCACGTCACCTGTGCTGTTTTGCGGACATTTGAGGTTCTGCTATCCAACGGGAAAAGGTGCTCCTGTGCATGAGCTAAGGGGTCAGACTCTATGAGAACGCACCAAGCACAGACCGGAGGATTTGGGATATTTTTCTTATTTATTATAGCAGCATTAAGTTTTGTTTCTTAGAAAGAAAGAGAGAGAGGCTCTCTTAAAACCAGGAGGCTGGGCTCTAAGATTTTATTCCTACAGGATAATAAAGAAAAAAATTTTAAAGCAATCTTTTAAAGTACTTCTTTGCCTGCAAGGCTATACTCATTAATTCAAGACAAAGCCTTGAGCTAAACGGGTGGTATTAAAAAAATATTGTTTTTTTCTTAAGCAGGCCCATCCATGACCTAGAAAAAAAGAGTCATCAACGCTGCCCTGCAAAAGCTTTCCTTGTCTGGAAATTTAGAACAACAGTTTTCTTCTTCAAAAGCAGTTTCCTAGCCCTCGTAAATGATCTCACGCAGCCCGTGAAGAAACTGCCAAACTAAAAACAGCAGCACAATGAGCTTTGAGACATGGTTTTGTTGTGTTGCCCAGGCCACTCTTATATGGCTCATGCGGACCTCAAACTTGAGATCCTCCTGCCTCAGCCTACCAAGTGACAGGATTAATAAGCATGTGCCACCAGGCATAGCAGCACAGACAAATTCTATACAAGCCCTTTTTATACTGAGATGGGTAGAGGAAACAAAATAATAAAATAAACCACCAAACAATAGGCCCATTCCTTTCTGTTTTAATGCCACAGTTCCTTTTGGAAATCATGTGTACTGGGTGATTAAAACGATCAGTTCCTTGGCCATGATAGAATATTGGGGGTCGTATTTATCAGTGTGTTCCCAAAGGTACATTCCCAAGCCCCTGGGAGGTTTTAGAGCCAGCCATTTCCCACCAGGAGTAGCGGCTATCAACTAGTTCTCTGCAT